AAAGATTTTTTACATCGAAATTTGTAATAAATATGGATTTATACCAAATTCCGTATTCGTAATCTATACTATCTCAATTTTGCCAACTTTAAAGAGATGAAGAAAAAAAATTGCTTGCGTCATTTATATAGTATCTGGTTTATAAAATAAAAGTACGTAGTTTTAAAATATTTTTATTACACTACGTATTTTTATGTAATACATCAGATGCAATATAAATTATTTTTCACCTCACTAGCTTCGAAAGGCTTTCTAGCTCATTACAAGCCTGCGTGCAAAAGATCATATTATTACTATTTATGACTTTGTTTAAATTTCCATAGCAAATGCATTTAAAAATAAATAAAATAAAATCGGCTTTATTTTACACGTGCATGTAAAATAAATTTGAAACAATTATAGAAAATTACATAAATCGTTCATAAAAAGCAACATAAATTAATTTATTAAATTCGTTGATCGTACAATGAAAAACTGACACTGGCGACGATCGCCATATTTTTTATATTATTCTTATAAAACTGACACTGGCTCAAGCCTGGTGCCCGCCATTAAGAAAATGATAATAATTTATATTAATATATTAATTTAATAATACACCAGTACCAGTGTAGGTATAGTATGAAAAGTGGAATATTTTTTAATATTAAAAACAGCCACATGGTTTCTAACTATCGATTAGGTAGGACCACATCCCTCGTTGAGTAGCGTCAGTTTAAGGTTAATAAGGTTAACAATTCACGAAGCGGTTTCCATCCGTACCCGCCGGTGCTGCAGGACAGCGGTTTTATTTCAATACTCACGACCCTGCAAGTTTGTGCGGGCACGTAACTGTCGCGGTTGCGGGCACGAAACCGCGAAGTTAGTGGGAATTAATCGCAAGTCGAGAGGTTATAGTTAATAGAGAACTCATCCCGCGTGCGCCTGCACCACATTGCGACTGAACCGACCACCAAAGTGCGCGGGCGACGACGGCCGCCAAGCGCACAGGTGATCGCGTCCTGCGCGGTTCTACTAGTACCCCGCGGCAACCGCGAGCAACCACTACAGGCGTAAAACGCGCCGTGAAATGTGCTACTAATTTTACATACTTAACTATCACATTCTACAAATGCCACGGTCCCGCGACAGGCGTGGGTGAAAACCGCGCCGTGAGTTCTTAGTGTAATGAAAAATGAGTTTCAGCGCCATCTAACGTGTAACAATTAGCTATTATATACTAAAACGCCACCTGATGGTGACTGACTGAACCAGGATGAAAAAATACTGAAATATTGTAATATAATGTTTAATTTTGTTAAATTTTAAAATTGTGTTGTGTCGTCTTCACGTTTTAAGCCCTACCCAATCAAAATCTTTAAGTTACGGTAGTAGATAATAGAACGCAAAGTTTGAATTGCACACAAGCTCAAAAGTGGCGACATCTATACCCGATCTTACATAGCGTCATTACATATCTCCCCTTTTCGTCTATATCTATGATTATAACCCATCTCTGTACCTGGTAACTTAAAATATTGGCAAAATTTCCCAAATTTCCCCGTCTGATATCCGCCCGAAACAATTACTGTCAAGTAATATTCGACCAAATTAAATAAAGCATGATGCGAATGAAGCCTCATCCTTGACATTGTTTTTTAATTTGATCGAATATTCCGTATTCAATAGTTGTTTCGGACGGATGTTGATCGAGGAGTTTTCGATGCTAACAAAGTAACATTAACCGCATACAAATATGTCACTATTTTTCTTTGTGCCGGGTATTTAATATAATAATAATAATAATAAGTTTGTTTATATCGAGTTCTTAGGTTTTCGTGATTGTTACACATAGGAAATGAAACTATTTTTCCGGATTTAAATCGCGTATATTTGTTTTTTCAAACAAACCGACGTTTCGGGCCCTTTACAGGTCCCATGGTCACGGTTGACTGACCAGTTTCATTTCCTAAGTTTGTTTATGTTCTCACCACAATATAGAACGTAAGGAGACTGGTGCCTAAACTGTCTAGTTCTCCCTATACTATACAATACATATTTCTGCCGTCAAGCAGTAATGTCAGCATTACTGTGTTCCGGTTTTGAAGGGTTAAGGGTGCTGGTGAAATTACAGGCACATGGGACTTGTCAACTTATGTCTCGGGGTGACGGGCGTACTGGCAGTGCTCCTCAGACTTTTGCGATTTAAAGTTCTTGAGTGGCACTGCAACTGTTATAGACAGGCGTGTAGTCCAGTCAATTGACGTTATAAAAAAAAAAACTGTTGTGACCACAAAACCTGCTATCTATTATAAAAAAGTCATAACTACGGAATCGCAAACTATTTCAATACTGTAAAATCAATAAAAGACCGTACTAGCAACAATATTTGCTTGTGTATTAGATTGTATTGTGTGACAAATCGTTATCACTTGGCTATTACGGGCTATCTTACGGGGTAACATTAGTGTTTTGTACGTACGGGGTTTTTTTGTTAAGAAACGGATCATAAAGGCAGTTCGTCCGACGTTGCTTCAACTATACTTATCTATAGAGTTTTTCAACAAAACCTTTGTTTTGTAAATCAAAATAAAACAATAAATTTAGATGACAATGATTCACATTTGAAAATGATATCTGATAAATGTCCACCACGACCGCAGTTACAGATGTCGATTCTTTCATCAGTTTTTAATCACTTTTTGACAAAATGGTGGGTCTATTTCGTTAATCAGTTCACGAATTTTGAGTTTTAGGGCTGCAATCGATTCGATAGGCTCCGTATAGACTGTGTCTTTAACATAACCCCATAAAATATAATCCAGCGGTGTTAAATCACATAATCAAGCTGGCCACTTAACGGCAGAATTTCGTGAAATTATGCGATCGGGAAATTTGGTTCGCAATAAATTCATTGTTTAGGTAGCTGACTTGTGCGTTTTTTTTCGAAAATTCGGCTGGAAATGCGGTTACGGTCAATGGATTACGCTAACGAGATGTTAACAACTCAATTTTGGCCTATTATTGATGATATGGATATCACTAACATGTGGTTTCAACAAGACGGTGCCACAAGTCACACATTGCCATTATGTCGTGACGACACAGATAGTCGTGCAGTTTAAAGTATCGTGTCTTGTATAATTAAATGAAGTTGTTCACACATAAAACAACATGATTAACTGTCGTTCACGAGTTGTATGAGGTTACGAGGACACACGGTAGACAATAGGTAGAGGACAGAATGGGAAGAGCTAGAAGGACAGTCGTCTGACGAGAAATAAAACGTGACGATAAAAATGGGACGACAAATAATCGCAGCTTCAAACGGTTCTGTAGTGCAAACGACAAGGTGGCAGCCGTGAACCGATAAATTATCGACACGATCTAGTGGGGACAGCTAGACACGACAGTCTTTCAACGATAAAATAAGCGTCTGCGACACAGTCACGACAGATAGTCGTGATATGAGAACAGGCTAGACGCGACAGTCGTCCAACGATAAATGAAACGTTACGGCATAACGCGCCCTGCACGTGACACGTAAATTAAAGTTTAAAAACCCTCGATATAAAACTGTAAGCTAACAAACAACTCTTCGAAACCTACTTTATGAGCTCTCAAACACGATAGTTCTGCCATGGGCTATCAATTCATACAAATTAACTTTAGTATATGTTTTAAACTATAGATGGCGACACTAGGATAAAATAAAAAATAGAAGTATTTAATCTCGAAAATATCAGGTGTCTTAATGGAGCTTAGAGAATGGAAATAAAGTTTAAGTGATACGTATGGGCGTAGCGCTGAAACAAGCGAATGCGACGGAAGCTAGTTTATTACTAACTGATTTAGGTGACGTCACGCACGTCGAAGATGCACATCATCTCCTCCCATCAGAACTAAGGGAACCTGAGACCAAATAAATACAAATGAGTCTGACCATGCAACAATTCAAAACCTATAAATAAATTTAGTCCTAGGTCGCAATTGATAACGACTTCGGGGATTGGGCGACGAGTTATCCGTCGCGGCGACAACATTACTATCGTGCTCGGTTGTCGGTGACTCATTAACTGGCATCAGTCGCTCAGGCCCTGTGTCCTCATCCCTTGCTTCGGCATTCTCCTACCACTCCTCAGTGGATCTGAAAGATGCGTCAACAACACTGCTCTCTTCTTTGCCTGTGTCGATTGTGTTTAACCTTAAAAACTGCTTCAGCCGACTGGCAAATATTTGCCAATCCTGAGTAACAGGGTCAAAATTAGGAACACTGCCTAAAAATCCGGACATTTTCTTATTATTATTATTTTATTGCGTGGGTATGACACAGCCAGCAAGCGAATGCGACGGAAGCTAGTTTATTACTGACTGTTAATGGAGAAGAATATAATATAAAAAGAAATCCAAAACTATTTAAACAACATTGTATGAAAAATTAGCATTAGACCAACTTCTGCTGTTCCAATTTTTTTCGTCTCATGCAATGAAATCATCCTTATAAGAAGCCGAGTGTATGCAATTTTATTCATTGTGTGTGAAAAACATTTTATGAAATTTGATTTTTGATGATTGTTTCGTCTCATACAATGAAATGATCCGTGAAACCGAGTCGATCAGACAAAAATTGTTTTAAAAAAAAAGTTTTCTTGTATCTTTTTCGGCTTTCCCCATACTGCTAAGTACCATCCCGGTCATTTAGCCTTAATATAAAAATACCGTTTTAAGATCAGATGTAGAGATGCTCAGACAAAGGCTTCAAGCTTAGAACTCCCATTTTTTGCGTCAGGTGTTAAAATTATGTATTCTTCCTGTCTCTTCCTGACATTGTCTCCAATCGTTGTCAACATTTAGGCGTAAGTGTTCACAATGGCTATTTCACAAACAATCAAGTGCAATTCGATCTCTCTGAAGTACAGAACCACAGGCTCAGTTTACATTACATTGCCTTTTCTCTTGAAAAACATCTCAAGAAGCGTAAAATCCACGCCATTCTAATGCTACTTTCTTACTCTTTTCAGATCAGCTGACAATCAGCTTCATCAGTGGAAATGAAAGTCTGGGGTGCTCATGGCGAATTCTGCGCTCGACATCAATGGGAGGTGATTGTAGCCACGTTAGCCTTACTAGCCTGTGCGGCCAGCGTTGAGAGACACAGTCCCGCCACGTCCCAACGCTGTGCGGGATGGGCCAGAGCCTGTCCAGGGCTCGAAGCGGAATATCAAGCAGCTGACGCTGTGATCATGACTTTTGTTCGCTGTGCAGCCCTTCTATACGCCTACTACCAAATTTCAAACCTCCACAAAATAGCATCGAAGTACTTACTTATCATAGCTGGAGTGTTTTCCACATTTGCAAGTTTCATTTTCACTTCTGCATTAGCTAGTTTGTTCTTCAGCGAACTGGCGGGTATAAAAGATGCACCGTTCCTGTTTTTATTAGTTGCTGATGTTGCAAGAGGAGCTAGAATGGCGAAAGCTGGATGGTCCGCTGGTGAAGATCAGGGAAAAAGAGTTGGCAGAGCCCTGGCTTTGTTAGGACCTACAGCAACTTTGGACACTCTTCTTGCAGTCTTGCTAGTTGGAGTTGGAGCGTTATCCGGAGTACCAAGACTGGAACATATGTGCACGTTTGCCTGTTTAGCTCTCTTAGTGGATTATTTAGTATTTGTAACGTTTTACCCGGCGTGTTTGTCCCTTGTAGCTGATTTCACATCGGGACGTAAAGATATGACACCTGACGGTCCGTTCTCGGAAGCCGAATTGAAACCGAATCCAGTTGTCCAAAGAGTTAAGATGATCATGGCTGCAGGTCTTCTCTGTGTACATTTGACAAGTAGATGGCCCTGGTCTTCTGATTCTGGCATCATTGAAGGTCCATTGAATGACAACTTGACTCAAACTACACCAGAAAATGTCTTATTTAATTCCTACCTAAAATGGTTTTCAGTCAGTGCTGATTATATTGTCATAGCTACTTTATTATGTGCTTTGATTATCAAATTTGTATTTTTCGAAGAGCAGCGCAACTGGGTGATTGATATGAATGACATGACAGTCAAAGAAGTTGTGGAAGACAAGCAAAAAGGCAAAAAACCAATGTTTTCTATCTCGGACGAGATAAGTACTGACGCTGGAACTCAAACTGAATATCTCGACACAGATATGGAATGGCTAACCTTATCTCCCAGTTCTTCTGCTAACAAACTGAATACTAAAAAACGTCCCTTGGCAGAATGTTTAGAAATCTATCGCTCGGAAGAATCCTGCACTTCCTTAAACGACGAAGAAGTCGTCATGCTCGTCGAACAGTCACATATACCACTGCACAGACTTGAAAATGTCCTAGAAGACCCAGTAAGAGGTGTCAGACTACGCCGTCGAGTAATATCTGCAAGATTCGAAGTAGAAAAAGCTGTGAAACTTCTACCATATTTGAACTACGATTACACGAAAGTTATTGGCGCATGTTGTGAAAATGTCATTGGCTATGTTGGTGTACCGGTGGGCTATGCAGGTCCTTTAGTCGTGGACGGTAAAGCGTACATGATACCAATGGCCACTACTGAAGGGGCTTTAGTAGCTTCCACTAATCGTGGAGCGAAAGCTATAGGAAATAGAGGTGTGACAAGTGTAGTCGAAGATGTGGGAATGACGAGGGCCCCAGCTGTCAGACTTCCCAACGTTGTCAGAGCCCACGAATGTCGGCAATGGTTAGATGATAAAGCCAACTACGAAGTTGTCAAAGAAGCGTTTGATTCAACGTCCCGCTTTGCGAGGTTGCAAGATATACACATTGGTGTTGATGGACCAACCCTATACTTGCGGTTTAGAGCTACAACTGGAGACGCTATGGGCATGAACATGGTGTCGAAAGGTGCAGAAAACGCTCTAAGAGTCCTTAAAAGTTATTTCCCGGATATGGAAGTTATAAGTTTATCTGGCAATTATTGTTCAGATAAGAAGGCTGCCGCAATCAATTGGATTAAAGGACGAGGTAAAAAGGTTGTCTGTGAGACCATAATTACGGCGGAAAGTTTGAAAAATGTCTTCAAAACTGATGCTAAAACTCTTGCAAGATGTAATAAAATCAAAAATCTATCAGGCTCTGCTTTAGCTGGGTGTATAGGGGGTAACAACTCTCACGCAGCAAATATGGTGACAGCAATCTTCATTGCAACAGGACAGGATCCCGCGCAAAATGTAACCAGCAGCAGTTGTTCCACAAGTATGGAAGTATGTGGTGACAATTATGATGATCTTTATGTGACTTGCACGATGCCATGTTTGGAGGTTGGTACTATTGGTGGGGGAACCGTTTTGACAGGACAGGGGGCGTGTTTAGATATCCTTGGAGTCAGGGGAGTAGGCGCAAGACCTGCTGAGAACTCAGCACGTCTTGCTTCCTTGATTTGCTCTACAGTTTTGGCTGGGGAACTCAGTCTTATGGCTGCTTTAGTCAATTCTGACTTAGTGAAATCCCATATGAGGCATAATAGGTCTAACGTAAACGTTCAGCTGTCAAATAGCTACGTCCCTGAAACGGGGATTACTTTGAAAGTGCCTAAATCATAACATATTTCAATATTTTTAATATTAAGGCCGAATGGACGAGAATTCTTTTACAAGAAACGAAATTATGTTCTTTATCGATGACGAGTATAAAGGCTAATAAATTGAACCCGCAATTGGTAGCGCTAATATTGACTTTGACATCGACGTAGTGTTTGTAGAATATTTCTATTTTTCGCACTTGAGTCTAAAACGTATTAAACTTTACAGGGTGTTGCGAAGTTATTCGAACTTGAAAAAGTTGTACCAGTATAAAAGTATTTGCAAATAGAAAAAAGTAAGTCTTTGAGAAAATATATTGTTAGTTAGTTGTGAATATTCATTTTAAAAAAAGGAAACTTCGTGGATCCTCTGTATGGTTTTTATTGACGATAATATCTTAGTTTGACTCTTTATTTACAAGGTTTTATTTTATTATCTTTTTATTGGCTCCCTGCGATCAAACCTTGCGGCTAAAAAACGACCACAACACAACGGTCAAAACTTTGCAAATAAGTCTGTCATTACGTATAGATAAGATTAGCCAAATGTCTATGCATTGTTGCTAATGCTCATAGTGTAATGTTGGCATCCGACATTTTGACGTAAAATGTCGAGGGCCTCGGTTGACTAAAGATCCCCATTTATATATAAACACATGTAAGCTGAGTTGGTGTTAGTCATCGAGTATATAACCAGAAATAGAGACGAAATTAGGGCCATCCATCCCTCACAACGCATCAGGCATGAAATCGCAAATTAGAAATCTGAAATAGTACAGCGCCAACAACTGACCTGACATGTACGTCTCCGTATGTTCCAAAAATATTCTGTATTTATTGTAATAAAGATAATATCTTTAACAATGCCGTGCTGTTCTATTCGGTTGTGTGGGAAAAACAGCAAAACGTCTAATTGCAAAACAAACGGAATCACATTTTATCGGTAATAAAATATGCAATTTTTAAATTTTCGTCCATTATAATAAAGCTTAAGTTAAACTGGTCCATTTGAAGTGAAACAATTGACGACACCCGTCAATTGTTTCGAATTCTGATCTGAATTCACCAAAATGATTTGGCAGAATAGTTTCAAACAAATTAAATGACATTTCGACTGTTTCTGGTTATATACTTGATGGTGTTAGCCGACAGTCGGGTAGTAAAAGTTGATGCCATCCGAAATTTTTGGCCTAAAATGTCGCCGGATCTCTTCTAAGATAAACTGTAATCGCGAATATATTGGTTAAAACGGCCAACACAGCGAACAGGCTCGCCAATTAATGTGATTTCGTTTAGACGTGGATGGCCACTAGGTGGTGCTAATTGGTCGCTCGGGGCCAAAATTGTCGACTGTAGTATTAAAATATAACCCTGTGTAATTCATTCTTGATTTTAACAAAAACAGTATTTTTCAATATCTTCCATTTCATTTACGTATTAGTTATTTAATATTTAACATCATAATGCTTAACTACTTGATAAGAAAGCTGTTGGGAGCTTTTGGAACCTATCTGTTAGATACTGTTAAACTCCATTTGATAAAGTACCTTCATTTTTAAAACTTTGCAATATGACATCGTCTAAAATCTTACTTGTGAGTTAGTTGCAGATAGGTTACCACTGACACTTTAATTACAAGTATTTAATCAAGGCCTTAGATGATAATTTTTAACTTATTCAGCCCGGATGACATAGGCTGTATTTCAAACAAAGTTAGGAAGATAATATATCTTTCTTCTAATCTTACTTCATTTAAAGATAACAATCAAAACCATTATTCCACCTGACTTTGTTATTTATTTATACATTTTAGGAAAATTCACGGACAAATAATACAATTATCGTATACTTAAATATGAGTAGGTAATCCAATGCCATTTACGAATTTCCACCAGCATGAGTTACCTCATTTAACAGCTATAATGAATGTCGCCAATGTTTTGGTACTTATAGTAGTATCCCACTTCTGAATAACGGTCATAACTAGCATCAAACCCAAATACAAGGAAATTGCTTTTTTCATCGAGTGTTCAGATGGATTATTAGTACCTTATATAGGTAGATAGTACCCAAAGATAGTTGGAGTCTTGGACGCCCTCAGCGCACGTTTTAATATCAAATGTGTTGATGATAACTTTAAGCTGTACCCAGCCTCAAACATAGATCGTTTAAAATCATGGTTTCTTAACGTTTTTTCTAGTCATGACCTTCAAAAATTTCAGAACCCACAAACCCTTACGATAAGTTGAAAAAGAAGAAAGATACGCGGGTTACATTGACGCGCGTCTCACTCGCTCCAATTATGTATGACCGTAAAGGGCGCGAAAATTCAAAAAGGTCACGCGCACAGTATCTATTTACTCACATTTTTTTATGATGATGTAAACGACACGCCACTTAGAACTTTTAAATCGCAGAGATCTGAGGTGCACTGCCTCTGCGCCCATCACCCTGAGACGTAAGTTGAAAAGTCCCTTACCTTGCCCTTCAAAACCGGAACGCAGTAACGCTCATATTACTGCTTGGCGGCAGTACTTCCCTGGACGAACTCTTTCACAAGGAGCTCCACTGCTACTAATGCAAATATCGTAGATCAATTTTTATGTTAATGCATTATGTTAGATAGGCTCGCCTTCGACCTCTGGCGTTCATTAAACGGACCCCTTAGAGGTCCATGGACCACAAAATAAAAAACCCGGGTTTAAATCAATCACCATGCTGTTAAACTTGCAATACCAGTTTCTTGTCATCCGGGCATTAAGGACAACTCACACTGTACATGGCTTATACTGAGACACTCCACACACTGTTTAGCAGTGGCAAACTGTCCATATGACACGATTCCCAGCGATCATATGTTAATATAACCCTATATTAAAACCAAATAAAACACAACGGCGTAGCACCACACAGAATCATCTGTTCATCGATTGGGTTAGATCATAGAATACATGCTTGTACATGGATTTGAACCGGTGATCTCTCAAGAACCAACTATTCACCTAGTGGGAAGTACCGCTCTAACCGGTTCACTTTTAAATGATTTAAATAAAGAGCTGTTCTTTATCGACGTTGCACCTGCAAAGTTTTCATTCTGAATATCTCGTACTGTGTAAATTAGACAGGCTCTCGTGTATTCCTGTCGCTATCACGACCTGAACAGTGTCACGTTCACAGGGTAGTTTTAATTTATTCATGGCCTTTGGCAGTTCTGTCATTAATACTAACAACGCCATTTAAGATTTCATATTAATAAGAAATCACACTGTTTACTGCATATAGCCTTATACATCCCACTCTGATCTTTTTTTAACGTAAAAGTCGCATGGTATATGCTGTTGTTTTGTTAGTCCGGTGCAGTGTGAGTTGACCTATAGTTATATATTAAGTGAGTAAACGAGGCTTTTGTAAGTTTTATTTATGCTTAGGGACCAAAACGGTGACACTTGACTACTTATACTTTCATTTCCAAAGAAGTCTACACAACTCAAGCTCCTTGAGCATTGCGTGCCTGACGCTCGACCAACTGAGCTACGGGGCGAACCAGCAGAACTTAGAAATTTTGCTACGTACTTGTTGCATATCTCTGGTTCTTAATAAATAATTGCAATACGTAATTCATGTTTACAACAAACTATTTGAAGCTCTCTAGTTAATAGTAGACATGTGTCGCAAAATTAATTAAAAGAAAGTATTAATTTTTCTAAAATTTTATGTTGGTGCGGGTTATTTGTTATTTATTTAGTTGAAAATTTATATGGTCTGTGAAAATGCAATTTAAACTTTGTTATAGACATTTTAAATCATTGTTATGTTCTTTATTCTTCAGCAATTGACGCTAGTTGCAGGATTCTTACCGCGATATGACTGTCACGGTATGAAACTCAGCAGCCAGAAATCTGTAACGATTACAATAAGTTGTACTTTCTTGCCACGGCATGACTTTCATACCGTGACAGTCATATCGTGGTAAAAAAAACCTATGACTATGATATAGTAAGTGACATTTTTTAGATCTAGTCTATCGTTTCGTTTTTGTTCTCTCTTTTTCTATGTGGGAAACGAAACTGGTAATTTGTTTAAAAAAATAACGCATACAGTATCACTACAAAAAGTTGTGCATAATTAATTTTTAATAAAATAAATTCAATATTTTTAAACATATGCTTTGTATGTTGTTTTGGCCGAGGTAACGTAAATTAAAGAAGTAATTTTAATTTATTTTTTAATCTATGGTGTCATTTAAGAATTACAGTTTTAAGACGAAACTGAATACCAGAACCTGATACACACTTAAATACAGTGTAATATACAAAGATGATTAAAACAATGTGTAAGAATTCTAGTTGTCTAGTTGCAATTAGAAGTAATTTTCAGAACTAGAAGTTCTATATCGTCTGTTAAAAGGTAAAACTCAGTAAGTGCCATGTCCATTACAATACTCCATTTTGTTGTGTTGTCGGTGTTGCCAGTTTACAAGTAGCTAGTGATTGCAGTCGATAAATATTCTATCGACTAGCGACTGAATGTTGGACATGCAATAATAGTCGAATTTGTTTCATTTGAATCATTTTCGGTCCATTATTCGCCCAACTGTTGGGTCATTTGAAATGTCAACTTTTGAAAGTTCATACATACACTGCATTTAGATCCATGTTTATAAAAAATACAAAGATGAGACATATTTAAAAGTTTTTCATTACAATTCAAAATAGGTAATCAAATCCGCCTGTTCTTGTTAAAATGTATATGAACAAAACAAGAATGAAGAAATCAATAACGCAATTTTTAACGCAAAGATTTACCTTTCACAATCTATCGATAAAACTGTCGACAACAACTACAAAATCTTAACATTGTAATAAAACTGGCAACCCTGCAAATGTCATTTTACTCCATCTTCAAAAAAGACTATGCAATACCATTACAATCCTTTTGCCTGCAAAGGGATTATAATGGTAATGTAAATATAAAATGGTTACCATGCCGAACTGCCACGCAGAGGTCCCAGGTTCGATTCCCAGGCTGGGAGAAATTTGTATGGCCTGCATTTATTTATCTCGTGAGTTTGGGTGTAATTTGTGGTTGTCTATGTGTGTGTCCATGGCACCCGCGACACTGGGTTTCCCTAGTGCGGGGCTATGTTGAGTGAGTGAGTGATAATTAAAATTTTGTGTAGGACCTGTAGGACACGATATCTTAATTATCACCGTTAGTCGATTTGGCTTCTAAGTGAGTTTTACCTTTAAACCATAGGCACCCAAACTTATTGGCTGACCGCCCACTTGGGTAAGATAAAAAAATTACAACGCCATCAACCCAAAAAATAATTGAAACCGCGTATTTTTTATGGTAACACAAAAATCACAAGGAAAAAAAATACCTGCCACCGCAGTAGGACTCTGCGTCCACCGGGCAGTAGGGACCACTTTGAGAAACTATGCCTTAAACCGACGATATTGTAACTACAAGTAGTATAGGTTAGTTCTCGGGACGTAAAATATAGTTTCATCGAAGAATTTGAACTCTAGAGATGGAGTTAATAACATCTTAGTATATTATAAATTTTTCATCTACGGTCGTTTGTGATGATCTTAGCATCGTTACTTGAGGCCTTGTAAATGACACAAGGTAGCTGTGAGTTCTCACGTTGTAAATAATAAATGTTTCCCACAGACCTATCTCTAAATCTTTCTAGTCACTCTATTAGTAAACTTATTTTTTAGTTATTTACTACTGTGCGCTCTTGGTGTAATAAGGCATCTGCAAAAAAACTTGACAGAGGTTTAGCTGTGTGCGTTGGCTGGATACGTGGCGTAGAAATATGCCTTGCCTTTGTTTTGGTTGTAATGGACGCGTGGACGCTG